CGTTAGCTGTTAGCTCTATTGGCTCGTTAGCTGTTAGCTCTGTTAGCACGTTAGCTGTTAGCTCTATTAGCTCGTTAGCTGTTAGCTCTATTGGCTCGTCAGATGTTAGCTCTGTTAGCACGTTAGCTGTTAGCTCTATTAGCTCATTAGCTGTTAGCTCTATTGGCTTGTTAGCTGTTAACTCTATTGGCTTGTTAGCTGTTAGCTCTATTGGCTCGTTAGCTGTTAGCTCTATTGGCTCGTCAGATGTTAGCTCTATTGGCTCGTTAGATGTTAGCTCTATTGGCTCATTAGCTGTTAGCTCTATTGGCTCGTTAGCTGTTAGCTCTATTGGCTCGTTAGCTGTTAGCTCTATTGGCTCATCAGATGTTAGCTCTATTGGCTCGTTAGCTGTTAGCTCTATTGGCTTGTTAGCTGTTAGCTCTATTGGCTTGTTAGCTGTTAACTCTATTGGCTTGTTAGCTGTTAGGTAATCACACTGTTTAACTCTCTGTGGCCCTGAGCCGTCAGGCTGTGGTTAATGCTGATCACACTTCTTCATGACTCATCTGTGGCGTTAAACTGAACAGGTGTAGCTCAGTTTGATCTCAGGTGTGTCTGTGAACATGTTGAGGGATCAGACCTGTGACTAACAGCTCAGCCTGTGTGCTGCAGGAGGAAGAGGAGGTCCCTGAGCTGCACATTGACATCGACGAGCTGCTGGACGTGAGCGACTCTGACCAGAGATCCAGACTGAACGTGAGGATCAGATTATTTTTATGCTGAAGCTCATCAGTGGGCTGAAACACAGAAATATAACTCTGACTTTTTCTTACAGACACTTCTTAAGCAGTGTGAGAAACCTACAGAGGTAACAGCTCATCATCTACCTCTTCAGATCTCTCCTTCATGTTCTCTCTGATCGGTTATAATAATCAATAAGGCCTCTGTGTTTGTCAACAAATACATGAAGAATATTTAAATATAGTAATCTGTAGGATTGCTACAACTATTCTCTGATATTTAATCCTGAACCTGACCATCAGAAACAGGACCAGTCACTGACCATCAGAAACAAGACTGGTCACTGACTGTCAGAAACAGGACCAGTCACTGACCATCATCAGAAACAGGACCAGTCACTGACCGTCAGAAACAGGACCAGTCACTGACCATCATCAGCAACAGGACAAGTCACTGACCGTCAGAAACAGGACCAGTCACTGACCATCATCAGAAACAGGACCAGTCACTGACCGTCAGAAACAGGACCAGTCACTGACCATCATCAGAAACAGGACCAGTCACTGACCGTCAGAAACAGGACCAGTCACTGACC